AAACTTCTCTGGATAATTGATACATAGCAGTGTGATTGTTATCTGTTGCAAGTGCTAAATAATGGGTACGATCTCCTCCACAGAGATGCCCCAAGCTGACAGATGCAAGCCTTACAGCAATTAGACAGAGATGTAGCAATCTGAAGTTCCTGAATATAAGGGATTGCACTGGCATGTCTCTAGAAGAGTCAGAACAATGCCTGCAGTCCGTGCACAGACTTCACTGGCGGAATCTGCTTTGAAGAAATTTAATAAATCTAGTGTAAAGGAACAAATCTAGTACCTCCACCAGTGAAGTTCTGCTCTTTGTTGTGTCACTAGTAACTGCATTTATTTAGTGAAAATGAAAATTTGTCAGCGAAATATAAATTTTTTTCTAGTGATATTTTGATGGCAAAGATAATGACCAATAGAGGGAGCTTACAGCTTAATGATTCATGATGAAGATTCTTGATTTTACAACATTTACAAAACCTTGTTTGAGGTTGGATTAAGGGTGTTCCACCATCAAACTCTAATGCATGACTGATTTCTTGGGGCTTCATCTACACGACTGTCTAATGTGTTTTACATTTTTCATACGTCAGACCTGTCAGTGAATTTCCATCTTAAAACATTACCAGTTTCCTTAAACTGGTGATACCAAATTTCAATAAGAAATTGTTTTATGAGCTGACGGGTTTCTACCATATCCAGGTGAAAGCTTACATTGCATTATCATAAATTATTTGTTTAAAGCAAACCAGAAGAAACGCTGCTTCATCTTGAACTGTTCCCATTGCACTGAGGCAGAAAGCGGCGTGAGCTTAGAGTTAAGAAGCAGACTCTAGTTTTGAGAAGTGATGTTGAGAGCGAGCGGAGTTTACTTATGTGAGGGCTGAGTGACGTTCATTCGTCTACAGTTTGGGAATGCTTTAGTTGATTATATTAGAGTGGAGTGCGGGCATAGTGGCATGAAATGAAATGCTGTTATTCTGTATTAAATGTAGTTCTGGTCGATTAAAATTTAGTGTGGGATTTGGAGTGGATAATTGGCAAAATTCATTGCAGACTGAGTGCAGTGGAGAGTAGCGATATGCGTGTTGATTTTCTTGGAATTTGTTCGTAGTGGTGTAGAGTTAAAAACACTGTGATGGTGTAGTGCAGGAGAGAGGAGATTACTGCCCTAG